TTTTCCAGATTTTACTCCGAATGTGCATTTTGCTGGATTGAGCTTTAATTGGTACTTCCTTAATCGTTGGAATAACTTTCTCAAATTTTGTACATGCTCTTCTTCCGTTATGGACTTGGCAATCATGTCATCCATGTATACTTCTATCTCCTTGTGCATCATGTCGTGGAAGAGAGTCACCATGGTTCTTTGATAGGTTTCCCCAGCATTCTTTAACCTGAATGGCATTACTTTATAGAAGAAAGTTCCCCACATGGTTATAAACGTCGTTTTCACCATGTCTTCAGGGTTTATTTTGATCTGATTATACCCTGAAAAGTCATCCATGAAGGAAAACCATGAATGCCACGCAGTATTATCCACCAGGGTATCTATATGAGGTAAGGGAAAATTTTCCTTTGGGCTAGCCTTGTTAAGGTCTCGATAATCTACGCACATGCGGACCTTCCCATCTTTCTTAGGTACCAGTACTATATTGGCTACCCACTCAGGATATTTTGACTCCTGAAGAAAATCTGCATCAATCTGTTTCGATACTTCTTCCTTAATCTTTAATAACATCTATGGTTTCATCCTTTTGAGTTTTTGTTGGACGGGTTTGCATTATGGTTTGATGGGCAACGTATGGACTACTATATCAGTACTTAGCCCTGGCATATCTTGATACGACCAAGCAAAGACGTCTTTGAACTCCTGAAGCAAACTTATCAACTCTAACTTTATTTCTGCGGATAGAGTAGTGCCAATCTTTATTTCTCTCTGTACCTCCACGGTCCCCAAGTCTACAAGTTCTACTTCTTCCTTGTGGGGTAGGATATGTTTCTCATCTTTTTCCACCAATATTAATAGCTCACTAGGGACTTCACAGTCTTCTTCATCTTCACATTCATTGACTTCTTCCAAACATGGTGGTCGCTCGAAATTTGTCTTGCAACTGGCCTCAGGAACAATTATGCTAGTATTATTGCGATATCTGCATGAAATTTGACTCGGATATATTGGAGAGTAAAGAAATAAAGAATATGATGTAATGAAAAATGAAGAATTTAGAGATTTGGAGAATAAATAATATGATAGAATATTATGGAATAATGTGAAGAATGAAAATGATTGTTATTTGAGGAAAATATCTTTTATTAATTGATGGGATAAGCGTGAAGTTTTACAAGAAGTCCAACATATTTTTTTTAGATGCTAATATAAATTATTTCTGGGCATTACTTTGGATTGACCCTAAAAACTTTGAGGAGGTCCTCGGCTGTCCAATTATCGAGCTTTTCACTAGGTAAGCACGGACGGATTCTAGCTAGAAATTTCCCGGGTTGGTTGCCCCCAGAAATCATATTGATTGACAGTCCTTTCAGAGCTTCGCCTTTCACCTCGGTTTCGATGGCACTAGTTAGCTGTTGTTCTGCGTTGTACACTTCTCCAAATTTGAAAGAGCTCTTCAGGGGAAGAAATGACATGCGTTCTCCCGAGACATCCTCTCCTTTTAGTCTGGCCTTTCTCACCTCATTCTTTTTCTTCATTTCTTGACCCCGCTGTTGGAAGGTGGGCTTAAATTCGAGCCCGAAACGGTCATTCTTCCAACTCAACAGTTATGGGTCGTACCTACCCCTGCAGCTCTTTTCCTAGTCCTTTACCGATCTTTGCTCCTCTTCCTAGGGTTTGTCTCACTGTCATCTTAGTATAATTTGACAGTGCGGGTCGTGGAATTATACTACCTTCAGCCACATAGGTTGCATTGATGAATTCCAAAGCCCTGAATGAGCACTCCAAGACGTCATCATTGATGTCGATATACGGGGTCTCAGACATTACAGAAGCTATAATTTCTTGTTCAGCCCCAATACTGACCAATCTTCCATTAATTACGAACTTCAGCTTTTGATGCAGGGATGAAGGAACTGCCCCTGCCGCATGGATCCAAGTCTCCCTAACAAACAGTTGTATGTCAGGTGGATATCCATTATCACAAAATCAACATTGTAAATAGCAGGCCCGATCATTAAGGGTATTTCCATCTTTCCCATCACGTCCTTATGGGTTCCGTCGAATGCCCTGACAATGTTATGATACGCTCTCATGTGTGAGATATCAATGGGCATCCTTTGCAGTGTAGCTAAGGGCATTACATTCAGTGCCGACCCATTATCTATAAAACCCCTAGCAGGACATGATTGTGGCAGTGCACAGTGATGTTTAAAGCCTTAATGGATCTCATTCCTCCTTCCAGGATCTCATCATCAGTGAAGGTAATATAGTTTCAGCAGCTATGTGACCCATAATTCGGTCCAATTTATTCGTCGAGATATCCTCAGGAACAAATGTTTGGTTGAGCACTTTTAGCAAGGCGTTTCGATGTACTTCGGAATTGATTAAAATATCCAAGATTGAGATTTTTGCCTGCTGTTTGTGAAGCTGCTCCACTATATTATATTCATTGTGCTTAAGAAACCTCAAAAACTCACGACCTTAAGCTTCAGTCACATGATCATTAATGATCGGTGGAGGTTCTTCATTGAAAATGTTTGGCACGACTTTGGCTTTAGCTTTTCCTTTTCCTTTGTCTACCTCGAGGGACGTTTCTGGTGAGTAGCATCTTTCGCTTCGTGTGAAATGTCCCACCTCACTTACTTCTTCTGAGCTTGATTTATTTTCCTCGTTTGTTCCTTCAGACATCTTGGACCCCTCCGGTATTGATACATTGGTTGTATAGCTCCAAGGAACCTGTCGGGTATCCTTGAATGGGAAGGGGGATGGAGTTGTAATCATCACCCTTGGAGTTGTTGACGATGATCTCTTTTGTCCCAGATTAATTGTAATGACTATAGGCTTTCTCGTCCCCGTCATTCTGACCAAGCCATCCATCATACATATGTCTATTTCTCGTGGTTTCTCTTCCTTACTAAAAAATTCCACTTCTCCACTATCCAGCATTTTTTGAAGCAATTCTCGAAATTCAGTACAATTCTGGATATCATGGTCCTCAGTTTGGTGATGTTCACAGTATGTTTCTCGTTCCAATGACCTTGATTCGGGATTGCCCTTAATCATTCCCGATGTACACAACTACCTGAACACCCAACAGAGGGGAGATTTGACTTCTGACACCTTTCTTTTGGTCGTCCTGATCTCTTCTTCTTCGGCCATGTTAATTCCTTGCCCCCCATGATTAGGCATAGGGTGAGTATTTACAGTTGGTTTTTTGAATTCCAAATCTCCAGCGTTGATAAGGTTTTGTACAACCTTCTTAAATTGCGGGCAGTTCTCGATATCATGCCCAACAATCCCTGCGTGGTATTCACAGTGAGCATTGGCATTATACCAGTGAGGGTAAGGTGGCTGCATCGGAGTCAATTTGTAAGGGCGTATTAAATCTGCCTTCAAGAGCGAGGCGTAGATTTCTGAATATGGTACTGGCACTGGTGAGAAAGTCGATCTTGTATTCTCCCTTCTTTGCCCTCTATTTTCATAGGTGTTGGTCTTCTCTGTCTTAGGCTGCGAAATTGTGATGCTGGCTGCGTAGTTCTTGCTATAAGTACTCGTCTGGTTCACTTCATTGTCTTTTTTCTTGAAATAGGGCTTCTTCGACCTATCATATCTTTCAATCTTGCCACTTTTAATGGCATTTTCAATTAATTCTCCAGAAAGAACCAAGTCAGCAAAATTCTTGGTAGCGTTTCCCAATATATGCCCCACAAATATGGAGCCTTCAGAGTATGTACAAAGATAATCGTAGCCTCCTTTTTCAGCAACGGGGGTTGTACTTATGAAGCAACATCGCGCCACCTTTGGGCGTACTGTCTGAAAGTTTCATTATGTCGCTTTTCCATGTTCTGTAATGTCCATCTGTCAAGCATTAGTTCGGTGACGTGACGATACTGTTCATAAAATGCTCGAGCCAAGTCTCTCCATGACTTGATATGGGATCTAGTCAATTGATTGTACCATTTAATTGTTGATCATGTTAGGTTGTCCTGGAAACAATGTATCAATAGTTTCTCATTTTCAGTATACCCTGTCATTCTTCTGCAGAACATGACGATGTGAGCTGATGGGCAAGCAGTTCCATCATACTTTTCAAAGTCTGGTGCTTTGAACTTCGGGGGTAGAATCAGGTCGGGCACCAAACTTAACTCTCTAGTATCCATTCCATAGAATGACTCCACTTCTACTGATCTCATTCTTTTCTCTAGGCTTTTCAACTGCTAGGTCATATCGTTTTAACCCTTCCTTTCTCTGAGACTTCCTAAAAATTAGGTGGCAACTCTTCTACGCCTGATTCAATGGGTCTTGCCCTAGCAGCCGGTGGGTAATCGGTTTGAAATGCGAGCTCATTCTGATTTTGCTGATTCTATATAGACTCCCGGGTGAGCCTCTTGCATAACTGGCGATCTAACTGAAATGTGCACTGGGGTGAAACCGGGAGGATGCGAAGGGTCGGGTGTAAACCCTGGTGGGTGCTGGGGGCCAGATGTAAACCCGACAGGATGCGATGCCATAGGTTCAAACCCTGGAGGATGCAAGAGATCCTGATCAGATGATTTTGGTTGGTCAACAATAGCTTTTCCACTTGTAGCGTGCTTCTTAAACATTTCTTCGATCTTTTGTAGCAAGCCGTCTTGTGAGCTTTCCATCTCTTCTTCCATTTTGCTTAATCTTTCTCTCATCTCTGCTTGAGCTTGTTTGTGTTCTTGTTCAATTTGAGCTAATTTCGCCTCCATTTTCTTAGGTTTACGGGTACTGTATGGGTGTGAGGTGAATGCCAGGATAACTACAAATAATTGGAAATTATATTTTATTATTTGGTGAATTTTAATGAATGAATGACTGTTATAATGCAATTATTAAGATTTCAAACATTAAAAAAAATGTAAGAAAATGCAAATGCAAATGCAACCCGATATTGATTCCGAAATAACTTAGTTCATACAAAAAGTACTCAACAACACACAAAGTCTAAGCACTTAGGCAAATAGAATACATCCTCATTGAAATTAAACGTAGAATCTTGCCCTATCGCCTAATCTCTCGAGCTCTATCATCAACCCCAGGATGCGTCGCTCTTCCTCTGAATTTGGGATCACAAAAACTCTGAGAGCTATCGCTTCTTCAGATATCTCGTAGACTTGACGAGCAACATCATGGGCTTGATTCACTGCTCTTTCCATTACTTCAAGCTGCCTCTGAATGGTGTCCTGAGCCTGCCGTAGCGTAGTTCTGAGCTCTGGATTGGTCAATGATCGACTTTCTTCCAACTGTTGGATTCGTTGATGGCCTCTCTGTACTGCAGCTTCTAGTTCAGTAATTTTAACTTTTAAAGCCTTATTCTCTTGCCTAGATTCGTCTTATGCAGATGAGTGGATCAACCTTGCTTCTTCTAACTCTATTATCCTTTTCTTCAACATCACATTTTCTTTTTGAAGACGGAGTACATCATTGTGAAAAGTCTTATCCATACTAAGCAACTGTGCTTCGAGTCATTCAATCTGTGCCCGTCTCTGTGTCAATTCTTGGTTAGCCTCATCTCTTAGCTCTCTCAGTCTTTGAGCGTGCTGCAGGGCTCGCTTCTTTTCTTCTTGACCTCTTCTTGCGTTTCTTTCTACACTATCAAGTTTTATTTTTAGGGTCTTAGCAGTATGATGTAGACCCTGGGCTCTCATATTCTTCTCTAAGGCCCGAAAATCTTGACTTAACGCATCAAAATTCTCTTGAACCTTCTCTTTATCTTTGGCCAATTATTTTATCACTCCATCCTTATTAATCATCTCGAGCTCCCACATTGTCTTCTCATCTGAGAAGTTTCTCTGTACTTTTTCTCTCTCCAGATTCATTAGTCGCATATCCTCTTTTAACAATTCAGCTTCTGTCGGGAGCCTCCTCAATCGTTCCTCCATAGTCAACTCATCTTCTAAATTTAGCTTCGGTGTATTGTTATTAATTTTGTGTGACCTCCAAACCTCATAGGCTGGCGTGAATCCAGGCTCTATCATTTTGAAATTCATGCAGTGGGGTTTCTGCCACGCTGTATAGATTTTTGAAATCCGCTCTCGGTAACCTGGAGTAGAGAAAGAAAATTCTGTCTCCTTCAGGCCGTGGGTAGCTGGTACGAACTGTCGGGTACTGAACTGTCTGAGTACAATTAGTGGAGTATACTCGATTGCTCCCCATAATCCGTGCAGCATCACAAAGTTATCGTTACCGCATCTAAAAAGTATGTCCTCCTTGGGTAACCAGTAAGCCTTCCACACAATCTCAGTATCCTTTACGTTACGGAGAGCTTCAACCCAATCTTTTCTCTTGCTATGCTCCGGGATTTGGCATTTGTCGAGGAAATCCACCATAGGCGAAAAATTCGATTGATGTCTCCGAGCCCATCCCTTCTCAACTATCCAAGAGTGGCTCCACCACCAAACTAGTAATAGTGAAGTACATCCAGTGAACTGACCTCCTCCCAATCGTCTACACTGGTTTAGTGACAGGAATGTTTCCGCAAAGATGGATGGTGCGGGATTCTTTCTGGCAATAGCTTCGACGAAATCAATTAAGGCAATGTCAAAGTGATCCTCATTCTTGGGGAAAATTACCATGCCATATATTGCAAGTGCAAAGTGATCTCTTCTTCTTTTTGATGGAGTCTGCTCATAAATCAAACTCTTCAGCTGAGCCCAAGAGATCCCCTCATCACAAATGTACTCTTCGACCCACTCCTTGGTCTTTCCCGTCAGTGTGATCATTTTGGTTATGAACCCCTTAGGTCGAATTACCTTGGTGTAAATGGAATGTCTTCTAACATTCGAGATATTCAACAAAGTTGTATACTCTTCCAAGGTAGGGGTCATGTATACTTTACCGAAAGTAAAACACCTGTAAGCTGGATTCCAACACTCGGCTAAGGCTCGGATCACCACTGAATCTACTGGCACTCTTAGCAGCTCTACGATATCGCCATATGTCTCTCTAAATAAAGTCTTTTCGTTATCGTCCCATGTGGACCAGAATAATTACCTTCTCCGACAAAATTGAATCTTCAGTACTAACAAGGCTGTCCCCGAACCGCGTCTACCCATATTCAGCCCAGGTCTGAACACTGATGCATTCTCAGTCCCATCGGAAGACATTGCTGCCTTAAGCTTTTATACTAACTAGGTAATGGGAATCAATATCATTTATGAAATGACAGTTATATGATAATGACGCAATCAAGAAAATCAAGAAAACAAAGCAAAAAGTTAGTGACATTAGAATAAATCACTAAGAATCGAGGAAAGATTAGTGAATATTTAAAAGATCGAATAATCACATAAAATTAAGAATCCTAGGTTGACCACATGTCTCTAACGGGGTAGGCTTACTAAATTTTCTATATGAGGTTGGGTTCTAACAAAGGTTCCTAAGCCATCTTTCCAACCTGTTAAGGTTGCCCCCGATTCTGGCCCGTTACAGACTTACGAATCAGGTTCAGCTCAGGGGATCACACCACTAAAAGCATACCTCGGATCCAATATCCGGATAGGCAACTTAGGGTGCTTTCCAGAGATACTTTATCAGACCCACACAAGGAAGCCCAATGCTCCTTGTGAGGTGTGACGATTCTCCCTACTTAGGTAAACCAGGTTTGAGCTCGGGTTTAGAGCTATGATATGCAAATATCCTAAATATTCACAAAAATGTAAGCATTAACCAGAGTGAAATCAGTTTTTTTCTTTTTTGAAATTACATAATGAACAGTAAATTAAATAAGATCGAACTCGTAATTTCTAAAATAGTAAATACATGGTAACCAACTCGTGGCTCGACTCTCAATTTGTTTTAAAAACAAAATTCCCCAGTGGAGTCGCCAAGCTGTCGATACCGTTTTTCGCCCGGGCGGGAAAACTGATACCGACTCGGGGGTTTTCTCTTTGAAAATCGTTTAAAAGTGTGAGGAGTTGCCACCAATCATTTAAGGTGAGATTGGAACACCGAAAAAACTGTGTGATTTTAATAAAACATTTTATTTTAATAAAATACCGAGTTTTGAGGTCTACGAAAATCCAAAAATTAGGTTCAGGAGTCGGTTACGCGTGGGGAAGGATTAGCACCCCTACAAGCGCCCAAAAATTGGTACCTAGTTGGTTACCCTATATTTAAAATTGGCAATTTTGAATTCGATCTTTATTTAATTTAAAAATCATTAAGGATGCAGAGTTTGAAAAGGGTATTCGTTTATTGAGACCGATAACATTCACCCCCGAGCGTAAATGCGGGAGATCAACTATTGTACCTAATAATCGAACATTGCCTCTCGTTTTTAGAAAATATGATTTGGTTTTGAAAAGGATGTCGACCTATTTAGGGAATTATCAGTAGTCACCCCCTGAGCACGATCGCGGGAGATATACTATTAATTCCTTAATAAGTGAACAGTGCCTTAGATTTATAAAAACAATGCGATCAAGAAAAATTTTATTTGTCCTAATTATGCTAAAAATAAATTAAGGCTCCTTTCTAACCTACGGTGTCAAATTATAAAAATTAAAGAATCTAAGGGCTTAAATCTAAAATGTAGGCTCTAATATTAATCCTATTTAATTTTAATTAATTATTGAATCGAATAACTGAGATGGTCCCTCGAGCGTTTATGCGAGGGCCGACTCAAATTATCCCCTAAATTAAAAGACTAGTTTAAAATCTAAGATAAAATGGAGGCTCTATTTAACCTATTTAATTATGTCAATATTTAAAGTCTAATTGAAGTTCGGGAACTAAAAAATCAGATAACTAAAATAACGGGCTCTGAAAGATTTAAAAATCTAAAGACCTAAATTAAACGTTTTTAAAGTGAAGGGACTAACCTACTTATTAAACTAAAATTTTTAGAAAATATTAATCATTAATTAATTTTAATCGAACAATTGATTCGAGTATTCGGGGGTATAAACGATAACTCGACTCGAATTGTCCCCTAATTAAACTACAGTGTCATCCTAATTTCTAATTTTGATTCGAATATTAATCCTAATTAAAAATAAAATTACAAAATAAATTAAATAAATACTAGAATTAAACAAAATAATAAAAATTACAAATAATAAAGAAAATTAAAATACAAAGATCTAAATATAATAAAATTTAAATATAATGACTAAATTGCGAGAAAATAAAAGAAAGTAACTCAATAAAAAGTAAACAGGGACCAAAATGCAAGAAAATAAAATTCAATAACTATATTAAGACTAATAAGTACTAAATCGAAATAAAATAAAAATACATGCCAAAATAAAAAATAAATAGAAATAAAAGATGCAGTGACCAAAGTGTAAAAACACTCTAAAATTAAAGGTACTAAAACAATAAATTTACCAAAAAAATAAAGCATGCATAGAGAAATGGTTAAACATCAATTTCGGTCCTTACAGTGACTAAAATGTAAAAAAAATGAAAGTTAGAGGCATTTAAGATGTAATTACCATAGTTAGAGGCATTTAAGATGTAATTTTACCATTAATCTAGCCTATATATATTAACCTTTTACTCTTTTTTGTTTCATTTTTACCCAAAACACAAAAAAAAAGAGCTCTTGAGAGCTCTCTCAACCATTCCACCACCGACCAACTTGCTCAACACCCGACCACCGGCCGGCCCCCACTCCGGCCTCTGTATACGGTGGCCGAAAATTCTAAAATCGACCCAAATCGCCCCAAAACAATATATCTACCCATTAGGAACCCCCATTGGGACTAAAACCACCAAATAAAGCCTTAAAGTACCCGAAAATACCCCGAAATCACTAAGTTTTCCCAGATTCCGACGACCTCTGACGAGGCCCCCTTTTACTCAAGTAAGCCTCGATACCTATTTCTTTTATTTTCTTACTATAAAATACATATTATTTATGCTTTTTATTATTTCGAAATTAAACAAAAAAATCAAATATTATTGTTATTTCGAAATAAAATAAAAAAATAAATTGAACGTTGTTGTTTCGAAATAAAGTATAAAAACTAAAAAACTACCTTACAAAACTGCTTCGTATTTCTACTGGAAACAAAAAAAAAACCCGATCCCCTCTTCATACATTTTGTTTGGCTTTTATAGCCCAAAGTTTACATAATTTCAACATGAAAAAATTAATCCTGCGCAAATTTCTGCAGGAGACAAGGATGAAGGGAGCAGGTATTATGGGTGAACTGCCTTTGACTTCTGATTTTGAAAATTTGGGATTACACAAAGCAACAGGGATCAAAGCTACAATTATCCCTCAAACACGAAAACACACTAAAATCCCTCCCTTAAACGGCGTCGTTTTATGCTCGATATAAATAGCTAAAATTAAGGCCAAACTCTCCATTTGTTCCATTTTCCCCTTAGTCTGTTAGTGGACTGTCCTTAAAAGGTTTTTTTGGGCCTGCAATGTAAATTAAAATGTCAACAATCATAATAATAATAATAATAAGTGAAATTAAAACTCGGATAAAAACGAATGTCTACACTATCAATTGTTATGGATGAGCATCTAACCTGAACCCGACCTGATTGGGTCGGATTTTTTAAAAAAAAAATCGGTTTCGGGTCGGGTCGGATCGGATTTTTTTTATGTGGTGGTCGGGTCGGGTTCGGGTTTATGGTGAAAAAAATCCGACCCGACCCGGGAAAAATATATAATTTTACCCTATATATTTAGGAATAATTACAATAATACCCCTCTATATTTTTTTCAATTTAGTTACTGTTTTTATTGAATAAAAATAATTTTTTATTTCGGGTCGGGTCGGATTTTTTAAACTATCTATCGGGTCGGGTGAAAAACTAATTTTATTGGGTCGGGTCGGGTTACGGGTGGAGGTCCCCTTCTTCTCGGGTAGGGTCGGGTGGACCAAAAACCCGACCCAACCCAACCCATGCCCATCCCTATCAATTGTATCAAATCGTTCATTCAAATCTCGCCAAACGGACGCTGCTCTTGAAGCAAAACTTATCCCATCATATAGTTCTCTACTAACTGTGTTCAAAATCCAAGATAAAACAATCGTGTTGCACCGCTCCCGCTGTGGATGCAAATCTGGCACATAATCCTCTTTGCAACAGAGGGGTGAAGGAACAAAGGATGATTAAAATCAACTGAAGATGCCGTCGCAGGAAACCAATGAACAGGAGAAAGAAACATACCGAAAGAGAGGGAAAATACTAAAGAGAAAGATGAATTTGATCGATGAAACTGAATTACAAAAATCGACAATGAAACTGGGCCAGTAAACGCAACAAAGAATAAATCCCAATAGAAAAAAAAAACAAACCCACAAACAAAGAATTTATTCCAGGAAAAAAACCTCACGATGATACCATGTAGAAATATTTAATTCAATATATTCCATCAGAAAATTAACTTTACAAATAGTGTACTTATATATATATTCTCCTCAACTAACTCACTAACAGATTTTATACAGAAAAACTAACAGTACCCAAAACACCCAAGATTCAAGGCATCACATTTATGAAATCCAAGAAGTATTTCAAAGTGTACTACTTTGACTCAAAACACAAAAATAAGTCTCTTGCTCAACTCCCTCCAATCTTTTTCGTCCTTTTTTGCACGAGAGGACTTTCTCACCTCTTTTACCAATCAAACAAGTATCAAATGAATTTATAGTCAAACACAAGATTAAGAGAAATATTATAACAAATTTAGAAATAGATAAATACCATAAATGAAGCTTAGAATAGTTCCATGGCATAAACCCTCTCATAATCTCATATAGCTTTCTACCATCTTTAATGGAAGATGAGCTTATTTTGAAGCTCTTGAGATTCTAAGGATGAATCTTTACCTCTTCAATCTTGAATGACTAATCAACATTAAAAAATATTCCTTTTTGAGTGTAAAAATATGGTTTTGCTTGGAAAGCTTTGGAAGAAAAGAGAGAGAAAAAAGATTAATGAAGTGGGAGGCATTAACCAAATATTTTGCTGTTTGCGCTCTCTCATACGTCCAAACAAGGGAAAAAAATCAATGGATTTCAGCCACCTTTTCATCAATGGTATAACTACTCTTTTAGTCATTCAACATTTAATCTCAAATAAAAGATCTCCTTTTCAATGTCATTTGGGTTTAATTGTCTCCCAATTAAGCTCATAC